GGGGGGGGGGGGGGGGGGGAGTTACAGTATTATAATAGTACTTTAACAAAGCACTTACCCTGGACCATATTCCACATCTTCTCAACAAGGGCTCCACACTGCTCCTCCCAGTTGTACTTCTCTCCGTAGCTAGCACGTAAGATTTGGATTTCTTTAAGACGTTGTGCTCTTCCCTTTTGGCGAACAGCAGCAATTGCTTTCGCCCATTCCATGGGGTCGTTGGAATTCACCACAAACGATTTTCCTGAGGGTAAATCGCATAGTGCATGTGCGAATCCTGAATTGCCACTCACCAGAATGGGGAGACCAGCAGACAACGCCTCCAGAGCTGTTAATCCGAAACCTTCTGTTCTGGAAGGCATAATGGCAAGGTCAACCTCACAAAACAACTCTTTTAACCTTTCCTTGCTCTGTACAAATGCTCTAACAATAAGCTGGTCTTTAGCAATTCCAGTCTGGAGCAAGTTTTGGGCGACTTCGTCTTGTTTCCCAACGGGAGCGCCCACAAACACCAGGCAGTAAGAGCTTTCTTCCATTTCTTCTTTCAATTTAACCACTGCTTTTGCGGCAATGTCATATCCTTTGAGACTAAAGTCTTCAGGATCACCGCGGCCAAAGGTTAAAACCTTAAACTTCCCTTCTTCCAGTGTAGCTTGTTCTAGCATTGAAAATTCATGGAAAGTACCTGGAGTAAGCTGGAAAATACATTGGTGTTTCTTGTAAACACGGAGGCGGGATGAATAGGCTTCTCTCAACTTGGGTCCTACTGCCACGACAAGATCTGCTAGTCTGCACAAGTCTACTTCAGCTCTGTCCTTCTCTTCACCTTTGGCAACCGCGCTGTCATAGTTTTTGAACATTCCCAGTTGTTCAGGTGCAGTGTGGACCACCTGCACCCACTTACAGCCGTGGTACTTCCGAATTACTTGCGCTTGTTTTCCCAACTTTGCGCCATGGCCCAGGACGATGTCGATAGCAAGGTTTTTCGGTGGGGTGCTCAGCCAGTCAAGAGGATCATAGTAGCCTGGTAGACTCTCTGCTTCCCGAATGACAATGTTCTGTTTCGCAGCGTCTCTCCTGTCCTCCTCGCTGCAAGAAGATTGTGGCACCAAAAGAGTAATGTTGACTAAGCTGTGCTTCGCCAGTAGAATGGCGAGATTTCTGTTTATTGTTGACAAGCCACCCATGGATGAGCCCCACTCACTCGCCAACAAAGTAACATTCAGTGCTTTAAGAAATTTCTCTGGGTCACTTTCACCTCCCCTATCTTGCCACGTGCCAAGAGAACGGGAAGTATACTGCACCTAAAAAAAGCAATGCGTTTGACAAAGTGAATACTGTTTTCCCCACCAATTGAGTTAACGGGGTCATAACGCACTCGCCTGGTTGCTGAAGTGTTGTAGCATTTTCTTTTAAGTCTTACCTACCGAGACTTATCTGGTTTATAAAAGATGGTAAAACAACGTTAAACGTACGATAGACGAAGACTAATTCATTATGGGATTTGAGAAAATCTGTGTGGTACTTTCTCTTCGAGACAGTACGTATGTACTCGGTTTCAGCTACAGCACATTGGGAGGGCGTTGAAATTTTGGATACCTTTTAAGTTTTCAGCCCTTGTCAACGCCAAATCAAAAATAATATAAATATAAATTACAAACTGAAAAATTTTACAAACTGATAAAAATGGAAGCGGTAACTTTGATAAAACAGGGAAAAAGTTAAATTATCTTTAGCATTTCTGGCTATTCAGATATGAAAGCAAAATTACTTTCACGTCAGTGTAAAGAAAACTTGTTCTAAAAAAGTGCCAGATGTGGGCAGGATAGGCATTTTTCGTCAACGAAATTTTTTTTACCCATACGAGACCAACTTCGCTTACTCTTTCTCCCCCGACCACAGTAACACGCAATACAACTAATTCACCTCTCCGGTAAATAATGTTGAGATCATTATCCACAAAAACTGAGGAAGATTAGTTGAGAGGTCAACGCACATGACGTGTCATCCGGAGGTTCAGATTCCAAGTCCCGCTCTGACCACTAGCTGGCGGATTTGGTTGGGGAGGGGCAATGGAGGGGAGCACTCGTTCGAGCACGCTTCTCGCGCACCTTAGTGGCCAGCTACGCAGGTTAGTATTGTTAACGTCAACATCGAAAAAGATTACTTCACGTCATTTCATACTATATCTTATTAAATATTTTACCTGGGCTCTTCTTAAAGACAGCCACTTTTCCATCCCAAGAACCCTCCTCACACTATCACGAACGTTCTTCGTGCATATCAGTCGCTGGCCTTCCTTTAATTCAAAAAAGTGTAAACATTCCTCTTGGGTACATGCAGCTTCCCGGTGGTTTGAACATTCTGCCAGACAGTGGGGGCACGCAACGGATAACTCGTACTGCAACCCGCTAAGACATGGCAACTCGTGAGACAATTTTTGTAAAGTGTCGTCTATGAAGACACGAACGCGACTTGGTATTTCAACTGATTCAGACACTGAAACTGGCTCTTCATCTTCATTTCTTTGCTTCAGCGCAATCTTGATAAAACTTTTCTTGCAAAGAAGAATGAAATCATAGATGATCTGCTTGCCGACAATGACGAAATGAGCACCATTTTGGTACAGAGTAGGAGGTGGTGTCTCCTGCCAAGTCTTACAGCACCAGGAAATAAAACTAGAAACAAGGCGTATCAAGAGACCTTTCGGAACAAACCCACCTCCGAAATGAAGATATAGTGGACATGGATCAGCTGGGGTAGGGTGTAGTTTGCAAATTTCTGTGGGTGGGGTCTTGAGCTGCGCGGGTACAAAGTACGTGGTACCGGAGGTGTTTGATGTAAATTTCGCAATCAAACCAAACTGGTCCATCATATCCAAAATGTCTTTCTTGACAATAGCTTGATCCACAAATTTGGAAAACACGTGATTGACAAGTTCCATGCAGAGAACACCACTCTTTTCAACTTCCTGCCAATAGGTTGAACAAAGAGGGTTCTAAAAGTAATAAAATATATCGAGTCAGGATCTTCAGCCTTAGTAGCAACCAAGACGTATGCCTTGAGGTTCACATTTGAAGTATAACTAATCCTCTGATGTGAATCTCAGCGTCTAAATCACACCCACTGCTTGCTCATAAGTTTCGAACGTTTACTTTACGCGACACGATTCACATTTTCAGGTTTTCTCGCATCACGAACGTGATGCGAGCTACTAAAAATATTTTGTGAATGAAACTTTCAATTTTTGTTCGCGTGGAAAAAGGGTAACTATGAATCAAACAAGCTTTGCTTAAACGAAGACATAACGATGCCACAAAGACAGTGAGCGTTATCAATTAAGATTACAATAATTATTACAATTTAGGGCAGCAGAATCTTGCGTTTTGCTCAGTAAGTCGTATGAGTTGTAACAACTAGAAAACACCTCTTATTGTAAAATTATGAAACTCTCCTTTCTTCTGCTTTTTTTCTCACCGCTTCATCAAAACGAGGAATGGTAATCAGCTCTTTAAACAGGTCAATCAGCCATTTAGCCTCCAAAACAACTGTGCTCCTGTGTTTTATAATCAGGCCGAGGTCATGATAGAAATTTAACACTGTTTGAAACTCGTCATCATCGTCAATGAGGCAATCTTCCCTGGCAGAAATTTGAAGTTGTTCCACACTCGTGTAATGAATTCTCTGAGCCACCAAATCCTCAAGTACCCTCTCAAAATGGGCCCACCTGCAAAGGTTAACAAAAAACAATATCGCATACAAAAGACATGTCAAAAACAGTCGTAGTTCATACACGTTTGCAGCAAATGAGCTCTATAGCAAAACACTGAAAAATATAACTCCTTTGTATCCGTACGTTTACCTTCAAGTCCCTCTTTATAATTTCACTTTTCAGCCTATGAATGCTTTTCTGCCGGAGGCCGAATAGATTTATTAGAACAAATCTAAATTCGGCTTTTAAGGAGTCACTGTACCGCTCCGGTGTTCATTTTTTGAGCAAGAAGATATGAATAAAATTAATTAATCTTTATTATAAGCACGTCAGTGAGAAGTGCAATGCGCTCCAGCCGCCTCTGGCAGTCAGCTTTATCGTCATCAAAAAGGCATTCGACAGCGTCCACAGAGAATCTTTGTGAAACGTCTTGTTCCAGTATGGCATTCCACCTAAGTTCATAGAAACATTTATTTATTTATACAGGAACATCTGGTTTAGCATGAAGCTAACTTAAACAAAGTCCTGTTACAAGAAGTGAAGATGTTGTGTCAGGACTAACATTTCCTCACGAGGGTCCATCAGGTCTGTTTGCTTTCGTCGCTCCTTTTTGTGGTAACTATCGATTGGGTACTGGAGAAAGCGACTGGAGCAAAGAGTATTGTGTGAAATGAGAATTGGCATTTCTCTGACCTTGACTATACGCACGACGTTCACGAACGGCACCCGGGAGCTCCAAAACTTTGTGGCAGAAATTATAGACATCGCTATTAGCACTAGCGTAACGATCACTGCCAAGAAAACCAAGAACAAGTAAACCCTACTACTGTTAACCAAAGAGTGGTAGAGAATTGCACTTTCGTGGGCAGTTCTATCGGTCACGCAGGAGTTACGGACAACTGCCGATTGGCAAAGCAACAGCTGCGTTTAATCACCTGTCAAAGATCTGGAGTAGCAAGAAACTGTCACTCGAATTAAAACTAGGAAACGTGAAATATGTTGTGACAGCAAGAGATTCGTATAAAGGGTTTAGTTAAGAAAAATCGATTTGATAATTTATGGAGAACTTTTTCAAAATGAGCCACTAATACCTTGCTGGAATTATCACAGACAAGCTTAAACCAAAAAGAACCCAAACACATGCCAGAGTCAGATCCTTTTTGTAAAAACCAGCCAAGGCAATCCCCATCAGCTTTAGATAAGGAATCAGTTTGGGCGAAATAAAGTGAAAAAAGTGAAATTTGATGCGCGAAGACTTCCTTGCACATGAGTGTCACTAAAACATTAC